CACTCATACACTACGGATAATTTAGCCTACCCAATTCACCTATATGTCTTTGGACTGTGGGGGAAACCGGAGCCCCCGGAGGAGCTGGAAGGGAATCCACTGCATAAAACAAATGCTGGAATAGTTGGCGATTGAATAAATGAATGAATTTCCCCCAACATATTAATTTGGGTGTAGTGATTTTCAGTGTTTTTGTTAGATTAATTTATCGGTTTTGTCTTTGGTTCCGACTAATCTAATGTATATGCAAAAATATATTACTTTAAAGCATCCTGGAGAAGATATGAATGAAGAAAAGAGATCTGTGGGGGGGTCAACTCATTTACAATGGTCACTGTATAGAGATATAGTAAATATACACATAATATACTTTGTTTAAAGTAAATAATTTAAATAATCAATAAGGAAATTAATTACTTCACTCAACACTATTTTAAATATCTTTAAATAAAATAAATATATGTATATATATATATATATATATATATATATATATATATATATATATATATATACTAAAATAAAATTATTTAAAGATGATTTCTTAGATTTTTTTTAGCTAAGTGGTTTTAAACTACTTATTTGGGCTTAACCTTTAAGTTTAACCTCACTAAATTTAATTAGTTTGTTTAAATTTAGCCCCAGTAAATAGTTTTAACAATTTTGCAGACCTTTTTTCAGTGTAGACAATAACAATTAAACTATTTCATGAATAAAATCTGAGCCAAACATGGCCTTTAGCTTTATTTGATAATTATAAACACACATTATGATTATTTATGTATTTATTTTTAACAATTAATACATTTTATTAATAAGCACATTTTATAACTGGCCAAAGTGCTGTACATGATAAAATAATAATGATAAAATAGAGAATAGAAATTAAAAAGGGAGTGTAATATCCAATTAATTAAAATCATGTTTAATATTTAATTTCAGTGTTGAGCTCTGCTATATTTCATGCGTCTGTATTCAAGCTCCAATGTCAAACCAATGCAGTTTAATCTAATTATATCTGATCTGATCTGTGGTATTCTCTATAGTCGCTCAATTTTAACTCCCACAGCTCATTAGTGGCTGATGAAGAGAGAAACACATACAGCACAACAGAAATGCATAAATATGTTGAATTTATGCTTAGTGTTTAAAGCAGACACATTATAAGTAGCTGTAAATAAATAAACATTATATTATATATTATATACATCCTTTTTTCAGTTGATTTAAATGACAGTATCTCATAACTTTAACTCTTCAAACCAGAAAAAAAACATTCAGATTAGGGTTTTTGTGAATTTAGTCTAACTGGACCAAACTAAAGATCTGGATTAAATAAATTAAAGAAGAGATTGAATGAATGAATGGAGAGATCCTCCATCTGCTGTTCTTGAGGATGAATATAAATGCTGAAATGCTGCCCTCTGGTGTGCAGAGAGATGAAACACACCACAGAAAACAAGACCATAAGTACTTCAACAGAAAAATACAGGATAAAAAGAAAAACAAAAATTAATGTAAAAAAATCTTAATATTATTTTACATGAAAAATAAAATAAAATAGTATAATATTATATCATTTTTATAATATAAAAATAACATAAAATACATGTTTGTTTGTTAATAGTGGTCTATTTCCAATAGTATCTTAATGATACAAGCTGAGATTGCATTTCTCAGCAATGCAATGTCAGACACAATGCACTCAATGGAGCGAGTGATGTCACTGTGAGGGGTGGGGTTAGGTGAGCCCATTAAAAAGCATTGGATGCAGCTCAGATTGCACTGCACCGAGTCTGCAGCCAGACCCCTCTCCTATTTTCCATCACTGCATGAGTTTGCATTAATTGCATTGATCAACATGAATGATCTTGAATAAGTTTTGATTTTTAAATTGTACATATATTTTCCTACACTCACGACTCTAATCATCATTCATTTTCTTTTCAGCTTAGTCCCTTTATTAATCAGGGGTCGCCACAGTGGAATGAACCACCAACTTATCCAGCATATATGTTTTATGCGGCGGAAGCCCTTCCAGCTGTAACCCAACACTGGGAAACACCCATACACTCTTGCATTCACACTCATACACTCTGGCCAGTGTAGTTGATCAGTTCCCCTGTAGCCCATGTATTTGGACAATTGGATCAACCGGAGCATTCGGAGGAAACCCACGCCATCACGGGGAGAACATGCAAACTCCACACAGAAACACTGTTTCAACTGACCCAGCTGAGGCTTGAACCAGCGACCTTCTTGCTGTGAAGCCACAATCTAATAGTTTAATGTAATGTTTTTTTATAATGACTGATTTTAACTATACGGAGTAAATATAAAACATCCTGAGAGAGACTAAAATAGGGGCTGAACAGTATATTGTTTGAGCATCGATATCGCAATATGCGGATCCTCTATAGTCACATCGCAGGATGTGCAATGTCAAACTGCTATTATAATTGACCCAGAGCTGCATTTGAAAAAACTCATGATTTGCAATATTTCATGAGTTCACACTTAGCTCATGATTTATGCATAGCTTGTTTGGCACGCTGTCCCGGGAGAGAGCCCTGAGCTCAAGAGATCCTCGAG